TTATCGAGCGGACCCGTGGGCCCGGCCACGCGGGGATGGCCAGGGCCGCAGGGCGGGCCCAACCTGTAATTCTAGTGAAGCATAAGCATTTCTGACCAAGGAGGACTCCAATCCGCTAGATGAGATTCAGGCACAATTCGTTGAGCAAGAATGGGGAACACTCGATAATAATGACCGGCTTAAGTGGTGCAATCGGAGATGCCACGAGGCCGCGCGCGACGCACAAGCGGCCTCTTCTGCGGGGCAACCCGCCTCTTCCTTTCGCGAAGGTGCCGACAAGCCCGCGGCTGACACAAGGGGCGAGGCTTCTGGCCTCGCATATGTTGTTGGCCCCACTGTGCCTGCGTCAGGGTCTGAATAAAGGCCCGCCAATGATATCGTCGTGACTTCGGGGATGAACGGCCGTATCCTGGTGAGTTCCCTCGTCCAACTTCGGCGTCAGGCGCGACTGGGCCCAATGTGCGCGCCGCCGAGTTGGGCCGGCATGGCCGATGATCTGCGCGCTGGCACTCAGCGGGGTAAGCGGCCAAAGTTTATGCTCGCACCGGTGGGCTGGTGCGGAACACCGTTCCACACTGAAGGGGTGGATCATATCAGACACCCCTTTCATCCTGCGTGCGCCCGCGCCGAATCCGCTACAGGAAAGGTACATCATGCCTCGATATTCATGCGACGAGAGGTGAAACCAGCGAGGGCACCTGCAGACGACTCCGATGGTTCCTGGATCCAGGCCCAGGGCGCCGATGTGTCGGGTATCGCATCTAGCGGCGTAGCGCCAAACGAAGGGCGTTCCGCCAATGATCCGCGGCGCAATCAGGCGCGGAAGCTGCCTGTTCCCGCGGGGCAACCCGCTGTATTTGCGCCCGTGAGCGGGCCCGCAATTCCGTTTGGCATTCCACAGAGTGCTGGTAGTACTAACAGCCTACAGGCCAGACTCCAGGGCGCAAGGGTGGACCCACAGCTCTATCAGGCCTTGCAAGCCACATCGCCTTTTTCATCCCCACGTGCTGCAGCGCCACAGACTGCGCCGACGTGGCAGCCAGTGATCATGGACTAGTACGGCAGCATGGGGCCCGCGACGAAGGCTGCCCAGAAGGTCGACAGCATGTTTGGACAGCAGCGGTGGATGCACAGATGCAGGGGGCGATGGAGAGCAAGAGGCGCGATGGAACCGACTTGCCAAATGCAAATTGGATTCCACCTCTGGATTGTACCTGGCGCAAATCCACCGCCGAACCATCCGAACCGACGTGGATGCACACCTTCGTTCTTCTCCACCCAACCTATGATCCGACAGCTGCCAATAGGCCGGTGGCGCCACAGACGGATTCGGCCGTGCTTCCTGACTGCTACGCGCAGACGGCAGGGCTTCCTCGGGTCGCGAGCCAACCCGAAAAACCCGCGCGCCCGGGCGACGACGGACCACTTTTACAGGTCTCAGCTCGCAAGGGGCGCGGGATGCGAGGCTGGCGTTCCGGGCCATGCGCCGTTTTGCGGGCACCTGGCGGCCTCTATGGACCAAGCTGTGAATCCACATGTACCAGAGCTGTTGGCACCTGCGTCGCCGGGGGAACTGCATCCTGGAATATTGGCCATGCGTGAGGCGCGGCAAGCAAATCTTCCAATGCAGCTCGCACGCCAGCAGCGCAATCAGGCGCGGCAGGCACGCCGCATGGTGAACCGCGCGGGGGCGTCCGCTTCATCTGCCTGTACGGGGCGACCCGCTATGGGTCTCTCAGCAATGCCTGCTATGGGGCCCGTAGCTGCGGGGCCACCTGCTGCTATGCCAGCGAGTCCTGCAGCTCCACCGAGCCGCTGCGCAATGGGAGAGACTGAGAGACTACATTTGCGCGGCAATCGCGTGCAAGGCCATCAGTTGCGCCACCGATTATCAGCGACGGCGATGTCACGGGAAGTGTGCGAGTTGCCTTGAAGAGTTTGCATGCCGCGATAAGGTGTGGAGGATATGTTGCGACCGCGTTGCGCAGGCACGCGTGGGCCGACAAGTGGAGGGCGCCCCTGGCGAGGCACCGTGCGCCGCATGCCGAGGCGTAGGACTTATCGCAGCTGGGTTCCAGTTCGCCCTCGCAGGTGATCGTAATGCAGCTTCCTGGTAATCGCGTTCAGTCGTCGCCCATGCACGTTGGTCCGCTCTTGGACGTGCTATAGTGCTTCAACATATACCATCAACCACACTTGTGTGAGAAGGGCGCAGGCCAAAGCGCCTCTGAGGCTGACAAACATGTCAGTTAACATGCCCGATACCTTTGCATCGGCATCTGCGCCCGTGAGTTCATGATGCTGGACCGGACGTTGCTGCTGCATGTATGCATCTTGGTAAAGAGTAACATTGCCGTCGCTGTCCTTTACATATCGCGCAGCGTAGTTTGTATATGTGTGTTTGCTGCGTATAACATCCCCAAACGTATCATCGAAGCACCTGGCGTACTGGTCGATGGTGCCCTCGGTGCTGGCCATGTTTATGTCATCGACATGTTTGGCAGTGAGAGGGTCAGAGCCTATCTCGAACTCCTCGTCGTCGGACGTGGGTTTAAGACCCAAGCCCCTCATGGTCTTCCTGAGCTCCAGTGAGAAGGCTCTTGGTGCATCCTTGGTACCGGTCCCTCGTTTGGAGCATTGTAAACAGTGTCTCGCATCATCATAGTGCTCGAGTCCTGGGTGGGATCTGAGCGCAGATGCTGAACCAGGTGGCAATGCAAAACGCACCACGCGTTCCTTTTCCACGGTTGCTCCAGCAAGCCCCTGATGCGTAATTCCACCCAGGAAAGCGACGTTGATGTCAAGGGGAGCAAAGATCCCATGCTTCCTGCGCGCTGCCGTGCTAGCGAGCAATCGCTGGCTCGACCGCCGCGCCGCCCCTGATAGCGTTTCCACATCGAAGGGTTCGAGGTCCATGACGCCCCGACATGCCGAGCGCAATATGATGGCACGCCCCATCCCGCCCTTTCCGTTCTTGACGACTTCCCAATTTTACACGTACCTCGAAGTCGTGATGTTTGATGCCTTGGAAACACTTGTTGTCACAGTTTTTTGGCGACTGCAGCTCGTTTGGCTGCAGCGGTCACATGTGCTCGCGTAGTGGTCACGCGGTCGAAGTCCAATATCCCGCGTGCTGTTGCTCGGAAAATATTACCTTTGACATTTCTGCCGCGAAGCAGAGTTCTACGCGCTGCCCGTTCTCGTCAGAGTCCAATCCGCAAGTGCCACCTGCGCCAGTGGAGCACAATGGGGCATGATGTGTCTCGGCTGCGCGAATGTCCTGTGGGGTGACCTTTCGTAGGCAGGCGCCCCCGCTGTTCTTCAGCTACTGTGGCCAGCGCGCTGTTGTCAGTAATCATATGTGTGGGTCCAGTATAGAGCTTGTCTATTGGAGTTGCCTCAACAGAACCCTTTTCGTCTTGTAGTTCTGCGCGCCGCACTTTCATGATGTGCGACGCGAGGTCCACATCTGATTCCTCATAGATAGTGGGGAGCCGGCCGTCTGCCTGCGGTTGTTCGACTTCTGGGGCCTCCTTGGCGTCGTTGCCTTGCGCTTGTATGTCGGCCATTTCCCGAACTTTGTCATGTCTTTATCGGGGCCCGCTTGAGGTTTGGTGGACTTCAGTCACTGGATGATTCTTGAGCGTGCTGTTCCAGTTGCGTCATGAATGCAAGATCGCCTATCAAGCGATGACGCCAACGGGCGAGGTCGACCTGCAGAGCGACTCCGGCTACCGGTGCCCGAAAGGAGATGCCGATGACGAAGTCAAAAGCTATGGTGCTCTTGGGGCAAACCTGCTACGGCGTGGACGCGCGCGCGCTTGTAAGCCCGTCGTCCATCTTGTCGACGCGCACTGCATGTCTCATCGCTCGCATGTCCGCTCGAACCACTCTGCGGAAACACTTGCAGCAGCCCACGCCTTGGATGACTGCGATCCCACGATCGTCAGTCTGCGCGAACTCCGCGCAGGGCCGCTTGCACCCACTCAAGTGAAGGATATGATTGAGATGGGCGGCCTGAGCGTTAAGGTCACTTTGACCACTGATGCAGACTATGTGCAAGTCCTTGTCAAGCAAAGGCCTGAAGCCACCGACTGAGTGTGCACTTTTGGGACACATCAGTTGGATGCGAAAAATGATGGATCGAGGTATTGTGCATTGTGTGCAGTGGTGTGACACTCGCGATGCGACTGCGGATGGCCACACCAAATGGAACATACACATAGACATGCTCATACTAGTCATGGGAGGAGTGCGATCCTTCAAGCACGACCTAAAACGACACATTCCTTACAGGGCTGGCCTGAAACGGCACATTCCTTACGACACAGATCATCTGCGCCATTTCAGGAGCAGTTATATGCGAGGTAACTTGCCTGCAAGGTAGCTTGCACGCGGGGCAAGCTGTCTCTGTTGAGCCCGCCTGAAGCTGTCTACATTGTGCGCTATAGCGTTTTGCTGGATAACTGTTGGCGGAGTCACGCTTCGTCTCCTCCCCCCCCGACGCTAAAGGAGGCTGGGCAAAGGCGAGAGGTAGCGAGCGTTTGTCCGCGGCCGTTTGTGTTCAAGCGGCCAGCCGCCAAGATCTGACAGTGCTTCACCGCGAGGCACACTATTTGCCGTCGAGGCCGACAACAGTTTCGCTTGACATGGCTCGTCGCTCCCGCGACTCTCCCTTGCTCTTGGGGCGATCGTTATTTCGGTATGACAGAGTTGGTTGGCCCCCCCCCCCGCCAGCTTCAAGCTCCAGGGCCCAGGGCATGGTAACGCGCACTTCTGTCGTTTCGCGTTTCGAGGTCCTCCTCCCCCTCCTCCTCCTCCTCGTCCTCCTCATCCCCTCCCTCCTCATCCTCTTCCTCCTCTTCCTCCTCCTCCTTTTCCCTCCTCTCCTCCCTCCTCCGTCTTCCTCCCTCCTCCACCCTCCTCTGTTTTCCAAGGCCTGCGCTCTCCACGTTCTCACTTCAGTTTCTTCCTCGTCGTCCTTCATCGCGGCCATTTTGGCTCGAAGCTTCAGCCGTCGGCCGACAGCGCCTCCGACAGCCAGGCGCCGATGGAGGACTCGCGAGGGCGCTTGGGAAGGGCTGAGAAGGAGGAGGAGGAGGAGGAGGAGGAGGAGGAGGAAATGGAGGAGGAGGAGGAAGCGGAGAAGGAATGGAGGCGGAAAAGGGGGAAGAGGAGAGGACGGAACGCGAAACTGGGTGGCCATCGAGCGCTGTGCGCTGCGGGGGTCCTAGGGCCCATCAGCCATCCTGCGAGCACGGGAGCCCATGCTCACAGATAGAAGGTTGCAGTCTCCGACTTCTTTTCTCTGGTTACAGGAGGACCACATGACCCGATGCCCAATATATCACAAGGACGAAGGCTTGTTCTCTTGGGCTCGGACATGATGGCGCCAGCGCGCATGAGAGAAACCTTGGCGGATCCAGTTCAGGTGGTGCTGATCCGAATTTGGTGTGGATTTCCGTTGCGGTGGATCCGACTCCCGTCCGCGCGGATCCGATTGCAGATGCAGTGGATATGATGTTTGTCCTGTTTTCCCGACTATCTTGAAGTGTCGGGTCTTCGTTTTGAAGAGACAGTTTCCCGCATTCCTTCCTCTCCTTTCTCGCCTCTCCACTCTTCTCTCTCCTGGCGCAGTTCGCATGTGGGCGTCCCGCCCGTTTCGGCACACCCCTCACACGTTTCGTGGCCTCGTGGGGAGCTCCACCGAAGGTCCCAGTGGCGCAGTTTGCATGTGGGCGTCCCGCCAGTTTCGGCACACCCCTCACACGTTGCGTGGCCCCGTAGGGAGCTCCTCCGAAGATTCCAGTGGCGCAGTTCGCATGTGGGCGTCATGCCCGTTTCGGCACACCCCTCAGACGATTCGTGGCCCCGCAGGGAGCTCCACCGAAGGTCCCAGTGGCGCAGCTCGCATGAGGGCGTCCCGCAAGTTTCGGCACACCCCTCACACGTTTCGTGGCCTCACAGTTTGCAGGTGGCCGTCCCGCCAGTTTCGGCACACCCCTTATACGTTGCGTGGACGTGTAGGGAGCTCCACCGAAGGTCCCTGTGGCGCGGTTCGCATGTGGGCGTCACGCCTTTTTTCGGCACACCCTCACACGTTTTCTAGCCCCGTAGGGAGCTCCACCGGAGGTCCCCGTGGCACAGTTCGCATGTTGGCGTCACGCCCGTTTCGGCACACTTCACACGTTTCGTGGTTTCTCAGGGAGCTCCACCGAAGGCCCCAGTGGCGCATTTCGCATGTGGGCGTCCCGCCAGTTTCGGCACACCCCTCACACGTGTCGTGGCCCCGGAGGGAGCGCCACCGACGATCCCAGAGGCGCAGTTCGCATGCGAGCGTTACGCTTTTTTCAGTTCACCCCGCACGTTTCGTGGCGCAGTTCGCATGGGCATCACGCCCGTTTCGACACACCCCTCAGACGATTCGTGGCTTCACAGGGAGCTCCACCAGAGGTCTCGGTGGCGCAGTTCGCACGTGGGCGCCCCGCAAGTTTCGGTTCACCTCTCACACGTTTCTTGGCCCAGCAGGGAGCTCCATCGAAGATCCCAGTGGCGCAGTTCGCATGTGAGCGTCACGCCTTTTTCGGCACAGCCTTTACACGTTTCGTGGCCTCACAGGGAGCTCCACCGAAGGTCCCAGTGACGCAGTTCGCATGTGGGCGTCCCTCACAGGGAGCTCCACCGGAGGTCCCAGTGGCGCACGCGTCCCGCCAGTTTCGGCTCACCCCTCACACGTTTCTTGGCCCCGCAGGGAGCTCCACCGAAGATCCCAGTGGCGCAGCTCGCATGTGGGCGTCATGCCCGTTTCGGCACACCCCTCACACGTTTCGTGGCCCCGTAGGGAGCTCCACCGGAGGTCCCAGTGGCGCAGTTTGCATGTGGCAGTCACGCCTGTTTCGGTACACCCCTCACACGTTTCGTGGCCCCGTGAGGAGCTCCACCGAAGGTCCCAGTGGCGCAGTTCGCATGTAGGCGTCCCGCCCGTTTCGGCACAGCCTTCATTCACACGTTTCGTGGCCCCGTAGGGAGCTCCACCGGAGGTCCCCGTGGCGCAGTTCGCATGTGAGCGTCCCGCCAGTTTCGGCACACCCCTCACGTTTCGTGGCCCTGTAGGGAGCTCCACCGAAGGTCCCAGTGGCGCAGTTCGCATGTGGGCGTCCAGCCCTTTTCGGCACACCCTCTCACGTTTCGTGGCCCCGTAGGGAGCTCCACCGAAGGTCCCAGTGGCGCAGCTCGCATGTGGGCGTCACGCCCGTTTCGGCACACCCCTCACACGTTGCGTTGCTTCGTAGGGAGCTCCACCGAAGGTCCCAGTGACGCAGTTCGCATGTAGGTGTCCCGCCCGTTTCGGTACACCCCTCACATGTTGCGTTGCTTCGTAGGGAGCTCCACCGAAGGTCCCAGTGGCGCAGTTCGCATATGAGCGTCATGCCCGTTTCGGCACACCCCTCACACATGTCGTGCCCTCCGTAGGGAGCTCCACCGTAGGTCCCAGTGGCGCAGTTCGCATGTGGGCGTCCCGCCCGTTTCGGTACACCCCTCAGTTTCGTGGCCCCGTAGGGAGCTCCACCGAAGGTCCCAGTGGCGCAGTTCGCATGTGGGCGTCCAGCCCGTTTTGGCACACCCCTCACACTCGTGGCACCGTAGGGAGCTCCACCGAAGGTCCCAGTGGTGCAGTTCGCATGTGAGCGTCCCGCCAGTTTCGGCACACCCTTCACACTCGTGGCACCGTAGGGAGCTCCACCGAAGGTCCCAGTGGTGCAGTTCGCATGTGGGCGTCCCGCCCGTTTCGGCACACCCTCACACGATTCGTGGCCCCGGAGGGCTCCACCGAAGGTCCCAGTGGCGCAGTTCGCATGTGAGCGTCTCGCCAGTTTCGGCACACCCTTCACACTCGTGGCACCGTAGGGAGCTCCACCGACGGTCCCAGTGGTGCAGTTCGCATGTGGGCGTCCCGCCCGTTTCGGCACACCCTCACACGATTCGAGGCCCCGGAGGGGGCTTCACCGAAGGTCCCAGTGGCGCAGTTCGCATGTGGGCGTCACGCCCGTTTCGGCACACCCCTCACACATTGCGTAGCCCCGTAGGGAGCTCCACCGAAGGTCCCAGTGGCGCAGTTCGCATATTGGTGCCCCGCCCGTTTCGGTACACCCATCACACCTTTCGTGGCCCCGTAGGGAGCTCCACCGAAGGTCCCAGTGGCGCAGTTCGCATGTGGGCGTCCCGCCCCTGTCGGCACACCTCTGAATGTCCCAGTGGCGCTCGCATGTGAGCATGCCCCTCACACACTTTTGTGGCCCCATAGGGAGTTTAGACCGAAGACAATCCTCTGAACTGCGGCACTCACAGCTGGATATGGTTGGGTCCTTCACCAGGCTAATTTCATGCTGATCCGTTGAATACCAAGTTTGAAGCTATACGATGCAATTGAAATGGGGGAACCAGAGAAATCGGATCCGCGGCGCCCATGCAGGCCGCTGTCAATATTCTACGCGGGGAGAGTTTGGTGAATTACGAACTGCCACAGACAGGTCGCGCGTGGTCTCACGGGCTCCACCAACCCTCACCGCACACGGGTCACACCCAATTTGAACACATCCCTCCTCACCACCCGGGTGTTGCAAGCAACTTGTCCAGACGTGGGTCCAGATTTGCCCCGTGGCTCGCGCTACCCCCGCGCGTCGCCGCGGATGTGCGGCGGCGGGTTTGCGCTGCGCTGGCGCAGCGGCGACGATCTCGATGCGTTTCTGCCCCGCGTGGCGGTGATGGCGCCAGCCTTCCTCGCGACCGTGGCGCTGCTGCTCATGGCGCCCGGAGGCGCTGGTTGGGTGTTTCCTCCCAGCCCACTCCATGGAGCCGTCGCGGCTGGCGCGCGCGGTGTAGAGCCCGTCCGCCTGGTTGCAGCTGCTGCGCGAGGACGCTCAGATCGCCAAGTGCGTGCAGAGGGGGCCGCGCCGACCCCGCGCAGATCACGGCCACGGTGCAGCAAGGCTTCTCGGCGGTGATGCGGGCCGTGAGTATTTCATGATTCAACCGCCAGAGTTTGAGCAGGGGGCCGACGTCCTTGGCAAGGGGCCTATGGACGCCCTTTTTGACCCGTTCCTGGAACAGTACGGCAACGCGACCGCTGACGCGACGTTCGAACACGAGTAAATGGGGTTCTTCGAGACCGCCGTGAGCACCACCCCAGCCGCCCAGGGAAAAATCATCGGAACTTCAGGAGGAGGAGGGCCGCCCTGACGCGGAGTTCATGGCCATCTCCGTCTCCGACATCCTCTTGCTGTCAGCGACGGCGTCGTGAGGTTCGTCCCGCACGAGACCGCGCAGGAGATGACGAAGCACTTGGATGCAGTGGGCGACCTCCTGGGCGCCATGGGCGCCAGCCGGGAGGGCTTCGGGGCCGGCCAGGAGGCACAGTCCATCGAGGACCTCTATTTCGCGCTCAGGGGGGCCTGGACCATAGGTCGTGCCCGAAGATCTGCGGAACGGCGGGGTGTTCAAGCAAGCTCATCATCGGGGCCTTCGACGGTGTGATCGACAGCCCGAGCGAGACGGTGCTGGACTTCAGAAACAGATCGTCGAGGGCGCTGTGTGATGGAAGGCCCGGGAGGCGAGGAAGAAGAGGCGCCCCCCGTCTGCCCCGAGGGCTTCTATTGTACTTATCGGCGAGCAGCTTCGCTTGCCCAAGCCCGCGCAGGAGTCAGAGAAACTTTTTGAGGAGACGATCGCGCCAGCACCGCGGGTGGGCTCGAGCGGGCCGTCGCCGGCAAGGCGGACAGTTCCGCGGGTGCCAGGCAGCCTATCCCCGACGGGGCACTGGTCGCCCTCTGCGACAACGACAACTACACCTACGCCGCATGCCCAGCCAGCATGGCGTCGGTTGTGCTGCACAACCAGACGCAGTGCCAGGGCGAGTTCCTGGCCGACGATGGTGCCTCCATGTGCGGGCACAGCCTGGGTGTGCTCGCTGAGGTTGTCATGAGCATGGTCAGAGGAGTCGCCTGGTGCCATCAATTCTGGCCTGCTCATCGCCTCGATGGCGAAGGACGGGGCTGGTACGG